TGCCATCGCCTTGCCGCAAGATCGCTCACCGTTGCCCACAAGTGCCATTTTGCTTTGTAATTCTGGGACCCCCTCGCGTGCACTGGCCGATCACGATCACGATGCACGCCACCATGCTACCGCGACGCCCTCCTTCAATTGCATGGCTGACTGGCGTAGCCTTGCCGCCGCCCGTCTGCGGCGGGCGCGAGGCCCGCGTGCTTCCCGCCGCGTTGCCGCAGTGCGCCGTGTGCGAAGTGAGAGAAGTTGCAATAACTGACTCAGGACGGGAACGATATTTTGCCGGAGTGCGCGGCCCACCACTCAGCTATGGTGGCATGTGGCCCCGGATGCGAAGCGCTCTCCGCGCTGGAAGATAAGAGCCGAAGTTGCACTTGGAATGTTCTGCTGCACGCCGCGCGCGACGAAACGTTGGTCCTGGAGGTGGTCAAGAGATCCGGGGCCACCGTTGCGAACAGAGTCGCGGCGTCGGAGCTCTGGGTGGTCTGCCCTCGGAGGGAGGCGCAGTCACCACGGGTGGGCGGCAGTGTTCGGGAGGGGCCTGGGGCCCGTGGACAGGTGTTCGCTGGGTCCTGCTCCGCTTGACCGTCACCCCGGACTTCCATCGGGTTCGTTTACGATTGCACGGGCGGCGAGCCCGGGGGGGTAAGTGAGGAGGGGCGGGCCTTCTCAGAAGGCTCGGAAGCGCTCCGGCTTTTGAGATGTTCTTGGAGTCTTCCTGGGTGACACAGAAAGCCTCTCAGAGGTCGCGAGGGCTTCTGAGAAGCCCCGCCGCCTTCTGAGAGGGCCTTCTCCTTTTCTTTTATCCCCTCGCTCGCCGCCGATTGAAGCAATGAATCCACTCTGAAGGGGCAATCTCTTACTGCCAGCCCGAACCTCCATGATCGATGCCTGCTTCCGATGACCATCACTCGCGGCGTGCGAGCATCTGCGTAGCCGATCCACGATTTCGGTGCACTGCATGACAACAGGATGAGGCTCAGAGCCTCGGACACAAGCCGATTGGGACCCTCTTCTTGAGAGTGGCTAAGATTCAGCGAATGTCACGACTCAGAATCCGCCCTTCCAGAATGCGTCCACCAAGAAATTCTTCAGCTGCAGGCCCAGGGCACCGCAGTGCATCCGCGCTGGCTCGAGGATGTGCCTCGTAGCCTCCTTGTTCGAGTAGGTCTGATTCTCTTGTTAAACCGCTTCGCTCATTCCGCCGGCCCATCTTGTCTCGCCGTTTTGGGGCCTCTTGGGGGCCGTGTTGGGGCCTCTTGGGGCCTCTTGGGGGCCTCTTAGGGCTTCTTGGGGTGCCTTTTGGGGGCTCCTTGGGGCCTCGTGGGGTCCTGTTGGGGCCTCCTGGGGGCGTCTTGGGGCTGAAGGCTGACCTTTTCGATTCCTGGTCCCCTTCTTGGGGCCATTTTGGGGCCCTCTTGGGCCGTCTTGGGCGCCTTTGGGGCTGTCTTAGGACCATCTTGGGCCGCCTTGGGGCCCTCTTGGAGGCTTCTTGGGCCGTCTTGGGGTGGTCTTGGGGGCTTCTTGGGCCGTCCTGGAGCGTTGGAAAGCCGAAAAGGCGAGAACGCCAAAAACCATCAAAAACCAAAGGAAAGTCATTCACTTCTGCCTCCGTGGGCCCTCTTGAGAGGTCTCTTAGAGGCCTCTTGGGGCGTCTTGAAGGCGCTTTGGGTTGTCTGGAGGCCATCTTTGGCGTGTTGGATCGCTCTTGGACTGTCTCGGATCATGTTGAGCTCTCTTGGGGGCCACTTGGAGCGCTCCGGAAGCGCTTTTGGGAGCCTGCTGGGACCTGGCCGGGACCTGGCCGGGACTTTGCAGGGACCTTGCCAGGTCACTTTTCGTCCGGGGACCCCCAGGGGCGGCCCCGCGCGCGCGAACTAGAAATGCTGTTAACCAGTTGCTGGAGATCTTTGCACGCCTTCGGCCCGTTGGGCTGGCGAATTCATGGCATGGACTGCGGCTTCGAGCAACCTTTCAAGTCTCCCCACGACAGCTTTGGCTCAGTCGCCTTTCCTATGACGCAGCCCAATTTTGTGCAGGTAATGGGGTAGTTGCAAGTGTGGATACCGATTTTTGGCGCCTCCGTGTCTGAAGACAGACATTTCAATTTACATCGCAGATGACAGTACACGCTTGTTGAGTGGCCACTTTGTCTGGCAGGTCGACTAGTTGTCGACGTAGGTCAGGGGATTGGTGTGTGCTGAATTTCACGTTCGCTTGGTGTGAAACCGGCTTTGATTAGAAGGAAGGGGGCGCTGATGCTGGCACACGAGGTGCCATTGACTTAGTATCCATGTCATGTGCAGAGGCTGAGCGTATCAGTCGGTTCATGCTTTGCTTGAGATTCCCATCGCGCGCGAGGCGTGCCCACGCAGCCAAATTTCATCACCTTCACGGGTATCCGCAGCCGGAGCTCTCAGGAGCGCGACTGTTTGACCGCAGCACAATGCAGCATCGCGCGAGCACTCGGATGCCTTTCTTTTGCCTGGCAGTCTTATCCCTCCTCCTCCTCCTCCTCCTCCTACTCCTCCCTCCTCCTCCTCCTCCTCTCCTCCTCCTCCTCCTCCTCCTCCTCCTCCTCCTCCTCCTCCTCCTCCTCCTCCTCCTCCTCCTCCCCCTCCTTGCGTTGGACTAACCTTTGCCGAAGGCTTTGGCGTTCCTCCCCCCTCCCCCTCCCCCCTCCTCCTCCTCCTCCTCCTCCTCCTTCTCCTCCTCCTCCTCCTCCTCCTCCTCCTCCTCCTCCTCGTTTCCGCCTCCTACGAAGGCACGCAACGCAGGCAAAGGCAGCGTCTTTGAGAAACCAGCGCAAGTGCAGCCGGCGGAGAGGCAGCAGGAGAGGATGGACGCAGTACAATACTTGGCTATCCTAGCGCAAGGTCGTGTAATATTGGGAGGCTCTCCAGGATGAGATCGGCGGCGAGCCCAGGGGGGAATTGAGAAGGGGCGGGCCTTCTCAGAAGGCTCGGAAGTCCCCCGGCCTTCTGACAAATTTTACCTAACAGCTTTTGCTGATAGGTTTCTAGTGGGATCAAAAAAGAGCATCTTGATGCCCCGGGGGGTCTGGGCGGGATCCGGACAAGGAACCGGACGGAACTGGACAAAAGGGTCAGCCCCAGGAATCTTTAGGAATCCGTAGGAATTCTTAGGAATCTTTGGGAATCCATTCCCAGAACACCATTCCCAGGCCAAATTTAGGCCTGGAGCCAACTGTAGGCCACTTCGTGTTCGTGTTCCCAGAACACCACTCCTGGGCCACATTTTGAATGCCCGGAGCCAACTGTAGGCCACTTCGTGTTCTTCGTGTTCCCAGAACACCACTCCCGGGCCACATTTTGAATGCCCGGAGCCAACTGTAGGCCACTTCGTGTTCTTCGTGTTCCCAGAACGAACACCACTCCCAGGCCACATTTTGAATGCCCGGAGCCAACTGTAGGCCACTTCGTGTTCTTCGTGTTCCCAGAACACAATATTTTGATTGCCCGAAGCCAACTATGGGCCACTTCGTGAAATTCGTGTTCCCAGAACAGAAGTCCTGTGCCATATTTTGAATGCCCGAGCTGAGGCAGGCTGAGGCCGAGGCAGGCTGAGGCCGAGGCAGGCTGAGGCTGAGGCTGAGGCACGCCGAGGCAGGCTGACGCAGGCTGAGGCCGAGGCAGGCTGAGGCTGAGGCTGAGGCAGGCTGAGGCTGAGGCAGGCTGAGACTGAGGCTGAGGCAGGCTGAGGCTGAGGCTGAGGCTGATGCAGGCTGAGGCTGAGAGGCTGACGCTGAGGCTGAGGCAGGCTGAGGCTGAGGCTGAGGCAGGCTGAGGCTGAGGCAAGTGAGGCAGGCTGAGGCTGAGGCTGAAGGCTGAAGGCCGAGGAGCCGAGGCAGGCTGAGGCTGAGGCTGAGGCTGATGCAGGCTGAGGCTGAGACAGGCTGAGGCTGAGGCTGAGGCAGGCTGAGGCAGGCTGAGGCTGAGGCAGGCTGAGGCTGAGGCCGAGGCAGGCTCAGGCCGAGACAGGCTGAGGCTGAGACTGAGGCTGAGGCTGAGGATGAGGCCGAGGCAGGCCGAAGATTCCTAAGGATTCCTACGGTTTCCTAAGGATTCCTCGGGATTCCTAAGGATGCCTAAGGATGCCATAGAAATCCCTAGGAATCCTTATGATTCCATTGGATCCTAAGGCCGTCGCCACTGCGACTGTCATTGCGAATGCGACTGCGACTGCGAGAACAGCAGAATTCTACAACTGGATTCTCACCTGAATCTTAAGGGGAATGCTTCCAGATATGCTTATACACATCGCTGTTAGGTTTCGTTGTCGGGATAATTTAAAGCTTTCCCCGAAGACACCGAAAAACTCTCAGAAGGCCGGAGGCCTTCTGAGCAGCCCCGCCGCCTTCTGAGAAGGTCTTCTCCTTCCCACCTTTCTCCTCGCTTGCCGCCGATAAGAAACATCTTGCGTACTTAGTGTTTTGAGAGCTTTCTGTGGGTATCGACGCGCGTCAACGATCATGTCTGTGGTTCGCGACCTTCTACGCAGCGCGCGAACCCACATGCACACGCGCATACGCGTCCGCATGCGTGCGCGCGTGTCCATCCGCATGTGCGCTCACACTGCTGCCCAGAGATGCGCGCTCACGCGAATCATATTCATGCATGCAAAGCGGACATGCCAGCACACGTGATTTCACGAGCGATAGCAGAACATGATTTGACACGACTCCTGCTAGCATGTGCAAGCGTGTAGCGCTCTCATGCGCGCGTGCGCGAAGCACTCTCACGCGCATCGGGCGAACATATATGCTTCGCCACGGTGCACATTGGCGCTTTCGTGCATCTGTCGTAATCGCATCCCTTTCGCAACTCCAGTGCTGGTGGGGGCGCGCACTGTTGTCCAGACCCTTCTTGTCCATGCGCGTGTTTCCAGACGCCTCTGTAGCCTTCTGCCTCAAGACGCCCGCCAGCTGGGCACCCGTGGCAGGCCTGCCCTCAGGGCCACCCCTGCGCCCCTGGCAGACGATGGCAGGGCGGCGCGGGCCGCTGCTGCCGATCCCCGCCGAGGTGCCAGAGGACTTCGCCCTGGGCGTGGTCCTGGCACCGACCGCCGGCGGCAAGACATCTGCGCTAGCCGCTCTGCGCTCGCGCGCTCGGGAGCGCGGCCTGGGCACTGCGCAGGCGGCGGCGCCCCTGCTCGAGGCGCTCGGGCCCTCGACGCCCCTCGTAGCGCACCCGGGGCTCGGTGCGACGCCCGAGGAGGCCGGCGGGAGACTGTCGGCGGCAGGCCTCGGCTCGGTGCCCGCTTGGTGCCGCCCCGTCGCGGCGCTCTCCACCGGCGAGCGGAGCCGGGCAGAGTGCGCGCTGCTGCTGGGGGACGGGGCGCTGCTGGACGACTTCGGCGCGTTCACGGCCGCAGGGCAGGCGCGGGGCATGGCCGCGGCCCTGTCGCGCTTCGTGGCGGCCCAGGGGCTGCGGCGAGTGGTGGTCGCGACGGTGCAGGAGGAGCTCGTGCCCTGGCTGTCGCCAGACTGGGTGTGGCTGCCGGGGCACGGCGCGGACACGCAGCGCTGCCTGCACCGGAGCGGGGCGCCCAGGCTTCGGCCTTCTGTGAGCTTCTGGCCCGCCCAGGACCGCGAGGGTGCCGTGGCATGCCGCCCCGCGCCGCTGGGCGACCACTTCGTGAGAAGCACCCCTTGCGGCTGGACGTCGGCCAGCTGCGCCGTGGAGGGGCACCCTGCGCTGGAGTCAATCGAGCGTCAGTTCGACTACCGCACGAAGCTAGTGCAGGCCGTGCGCTTGCCCGAGCTGCCCGCGCGCCTGTACGCTGCTGGCGCGGCTTTCTCCGTCGGAGTGTTGGCCGGGCCATCCGGGACAGGAAAGACCACGGCGCTCCGCGCGTTCGGCTCTGGCGGGCCCCCTCTGGATGGCAGCCTCGCTGTGGGTCAGCAGGGCTGCGCGGCAGCTGCCGTGTGCCCCGGAGACCCCAGGCTCGGTGCCCGTCTTCTGGGCCTCCTCGGGCTCGCCCCCAGCGCGGCCGAGCGCGGCCTCGCGTCGCTGAGCGACGGTGAGGGGCATCTGTGCCGTGTGGCGGCAGCGCTCTGTGGTGCTCCGGGCGGCCTCGCAGTCGTGGACGAGTTTGGCTCGCGCTTGGACCGCGGCTCCCGGCTGCGCCTCTGCCGCGGCACACGGAGGGCTCTCGCAGGAGAGGCCGGCGGCGCAGTCGCGGCCAGGCTCGTCGCTGCTACCGTGCACCTGGAGGTGGCGGCGTGGCTGTGCGCAGACTGGTGCCTCGACACGGGCTCCAATGTATTGTGGGAGGCTGAGTGCCCAGGCGACCGTGCCGCGCCGATGGCATCGCAGCAGGCGGCGGTGGCCTCTGCGGGCGTTGGCTGCAAGGACCCGCTCTTCGCGCGGCCCGAGGTCGTCCTGGACGTGGCCTGGCTGGATCCTGGCCAGGCGCGCGCCTCGTGGAGGCTTTTCGCCAGGCACCACTACCTCAGCGGCGAGCTGAGTCCAGCGGCGGAGTGCTGCGAGGCCCGCTGGGGGGGCCAGCCCGTTGCGTTCGCGGCGGTGCTGCCGCGTCAAGGCGCGGAAGGAGCCCCTGGCGTGCGCGAGCACCGCCTGGTGTGCCTGCCGGATTTTCAGGGGCTGGGCATCGGTCTGGGCTTGTCCGAATTCCTCGGCCAGCGTGCGCTGTCGGCCGGCTTCTTCGGGGCCGCGCCGCCGCAGCGCTACTTCTCAAGCACCGCGCACGTGGGCTTGGGCAGTGCTCGCGCTCGGAGTGACCGATGGCGGCCCACCCTCTTCGATGGGACCAGCGCCGCGCGCCCTGGCGACAACAGGACGCTTTTCAAGCACGAGTACGTCGGGACTGGTGGCAACTGCAGCATCTCGCGATGCAGCGATGGTGCGCCGCTGCCTGTTGCGCCGCCGCTCGAGGCGGCTCGCTCGGCTGTGCGGGCCAGGCGTGTGGAGGCGCGCTCGCACGCGCCCGCCGTGGTGGCCTGCCCGCAGGAACCCAGTGCCGAGGCAGCGCCGGAGGCAGCGCTGGAGGTGGAGGTACCACCCTGGCCATCCTTCTGGGCCACGTCGCCTCCTGGCTTGGAGGATGTGGTCGCTAGCGAGGCTGGCCAGAAGCTGCCCTGGGCGCAGTGCGACGTTGTTGCAGGCACTGGCAGGGTGTCGCTGGCGTGCCGCAGCAGCGGCGGCGAGGCAGCTCAGGAGCTGTCGCTGGCGGAGCAGCTCCGGGCCCTCCTGGCGCCCGACCGCGCCTACGTGCAGCTGGCAGTCCTACGCGGCCTTGGCGGCGGCGACGGGGGCCTTGCCGCACTGGAGGCGCTGGCGGCGCAGCCAGGCCTGGCGCAGGCCTTGAGGGCAGCAGCGGCCACCTGCGCTTCTGGCGAGGACGCACACAGCGCTCCATCCTTTCGCGTGACGTGCCGGCGCTCCGGCCGGCGCACGCTGGGCTCCGATGAGGCCGCGGCGGCGCTTGCGTCCGGCATCTGCGCCAGCCTCGGCTGGCGGCCGCTGCTGCAGGAGTTCGACCTGGAGGTCGTGCTGTGGTTGCAACCAGAGCGGTCGCTGCTCGGGATGGGCCTCAACGCCCGCGGCCGTGGCTCGCCGCGCGGTGCGCTGCCGCCAGGGCGCCAGGCGACGCTGGAGCAGCTGCGGCCGAGCCTCGCGTACGCACTTCTGGCGAAGTGCATGGCAGGCACGCCTGCCAGAGCGGAGATCCTGCTCGACCCTATGTGCGGCTCCAACACGGTGGCGGAGGTGGCATCGCACAGCGAGTTCGGGAAGCGGCTCTTCTGCTTGTGCGGCGACCTGGCCGAGACTGCGGTCATAGCTGCACAGAGGAATCTGGAGCGACTGCCCCTGGACGGCAGAGCCCGGATCGACCTCCTTCGCTGGGACAGCCGCCGGTTGCCACTGCGCCGCTTCTGCGCAGACCGCATCGTGGCACATCCGCCCGCAGGGAAGTTCCTGGGGGCCGCGCCCGCTGCCAGGCTCTACCGCGCCGCACTCGCCGAATTCCGCCGCGTGCTCGCTCCCCGCGGTCGGGGCCAGAGCGCGGAGGCGGCGGCGCGCCTGGCGCTGCTGGCCGCGGATCGCGCGCCGGCGAAGGGTGCGTTGAAGGCTGGAGCGGCCGGGGCCGCGGCAGACTGCGAATTCGCTCTGGGCAGCGATCTGGGCATCGTGTGGGCGCAGCTGGGCGAGGTGGCGCTGCCCTACGAGGGTGGTGACACCACGCTCTTCCTGCTGGGCACGCGCGTGAAGCCACTGCGGCCCGCGACTCCCCAGAAGAAATTCGACGTTGCCCAGTGATCCACTCTCGCTCCCTCCTCACTCTGCGGTCCGCTCCACTCCACTATAATTGAAAACTATCAGCCTCAGTTGGAGTACCTGTCCTCCCCTCGAAAGCTGGCGACCCGCTACCAGTCAACGGTTCTCGTCCATCCTCCTTTCTACTTCCCCTTCTCATCCTTCCCCTTCTCCTGCGTTCCTCCACGTTCTTCTGCTCCTGGTCCCCTTCCCTCGTCTCCGCGCCCCCTAAATCTTTCGAAACTGTCAGACTGCTCGACAGGTTGCGAAATCGTAAGACATCGACGCCTACCATTCGAACATCTGACTCCACGTCGGCTCCTCCCTCTCCTCATCATCTCGCTGCTTCCTCCTTCCCCTCCTCCCTCCCCTCATCCTGCCGACTTCCGCCTCTTCTTCTTCCTCCTCTTCCTCCCCCTCCCCCCCAAAGCGATCCTCGGACTTGTCCTCGTGCGCCCTCTCGTTCGGATTTCGGTGCGAATCCTGCCGTGGCGACGAGGGCCCCCCAGGATGTCCCAAAATGGCAAAAAGGTTCGACAGTCCTGCTTCCCTCGTCTTCCTCTTCCCCTCCGTCCTTGTCCTCCTCCTTCTCCGTCTCTTCCTGACCTTCGCGCTGTCATGATCGGACTTGCATACTTCTCCTCCTCCTCTTGCTCCTCTTCTTGCTCTCCCGACGCTCCGATGTCCTCCTTTTCCTTCTCCTTCTCCGCTTCCGCCTCTTCCTTCCTCTTCCTTCTCCAGCTCCTTTCCCCCTTTTGCTTCCTCTTCCTCCTGCTCCTCTTCCTGTTCATCTCGTTCGTCCTCTGCCGTGTCATCCAACTGTTCTTCCTGTTTCTCAAACAGTGCTTGCATTTACGGGTTCCTGGTTGGTGGCCGCCCGCCCTGATCCAAAGCGCGCCTCGTGCGGAGGGGTTCGCTGGGCGGGGGCTGCAGAGGGGGAATTCGGGGCTCAAGAGACGGGGTCGATGCAAACGGGGGTCAGCCAGAGCGCCGGGTCTTGCAGGATTCTGCAAGGCCTCACTGACCCCGTCCTGGATTGACTCGGGTCAGTAGATCCCCAAGGATGGATGAGGGAGTCTTTGGGGTCCTACACCGCCGTGACAATAGTTTGGCCCATTTATCTTGCCACGGCGAATGAAGGCGAGAGCGTCGGAAGACCTGCGATGCCCCCCGCTCTTCCGTAGACTCCTACACCACATCAACACAGCGCCGCGATGGCGCAGCCGCTGCGGAAGAAAAAACATCTCCCACTGATATCAATTAGTAGTAACTGCTTATTCCAGGGGATTAATTCTTCCGCCTTTTTTTTGACGCATGGAAAATGCTTCCGCGCCCGCGCGAGGGAACTCCACTGGGAAAGGCAAATGGGCCTAAACTTTCGTCCCGCCGGATTATGAGCGCCCGCGAGTCCAACTCGTGCTGCTCAAAGAGCTGCGCCTGGTTGGTGGCCGCCCGCCGGCGCCTCGCGGGTGGGCGCCTCGTGGCCGCCCCGTGCGCTGGGCGGGCGTGGCGGGGGTTCGCCCCGGTGCCCGCCCGCGGCTGCCCCCATTGGCGATTTGTGGATCCCCGCGCGCCGGGTGCACCGCAGAGCTCGCACGCACCACATCGTTTTCACCACGTACATTGCATCACATAGCTTACATTGTACAGACATGGATGTTGTATGTAAATGCATGTACACATGTATATATAAATATTACATCACCTAGCTTGCAACGCGTATGTTTTCGCCACCGCACGCAGAAAGCGCACGATAGCTTGCAACGCATAGCTGGCGCACATTTAACATCTACATCTGTACGTCTGTAGATATGTATGTATGCATGCATGGATGCATGCATGAATGCATGTATGCATGTATGCATGTATGTAGGTATGTGTACACGTATGCAGGTACATACGTACGCATGTATGCATGCATGCGTATATGTATGTACGCACGTACGTACATATGCATGCATGTACGTGTATACATATATATATATATGTAATTGTCAGTGCATATGTTTGTGTACATGTCTATGTATATGTATTTGTATTTGTAGATGTGTATTCATGTGTCTAGCTAGATGTACGGGTATGTATACATGTATGCATATATATATATATATATATATCTTTACATATAAGTTGCATATCTGCACTTATGTATGTACAGTTACATGCATATGCACATTATGCGTGTATATATAGATGTTACTATGCATGTATGCGTGCATTTACGTGTGTAGGTGTCTATGCATGCTTGTATGCATGTGTCCATGTATGTATGTATACATGTATGTTTGTATTTAAGCATGTAGTATATGTACGTATGTGTATGTATATATACGTACGTATTTTTGCATGTGTATATGTATGTATGTCTGTATGCACGTACGTATGTACGTATGTATGTTCGTATCGATGTATGCTCGCCCCTTCCAAGATCTACCTCAATACTGCAACATGTTTGAGTGACTCGCCTGACGCGGACAGTCTCTCTCAGGAACGCACCCCTTGCTGATCGCTGCGACGCCGCAGCTGGCGTCGCGAAGGGCGGCGACGGAGGGCGATCACGCTACTGTTTTCGAAGCTTCCGAAACCGATCGCACTCCCCCTTGGTGCAGATCTGGCATCGCCGAAGCCTGCGTCGGCGCCAGCAGTCTGGATCGCCGCCCGCCCGCGGGCGGAACCGATGCACTCCCGAAGGGCGCGCTCATTTGTTCAGGTGCTTCAGCATCTCCCCCGTCTTGGACCAGGCATCGTCTGCCCAGTGCCAGTGGGCCCATTGAGCAGACCGCACGCGGTGGCGCAAGGACGTGCTGCCGACTGCCCCAGACCTGCACTTGAGGTAGCTGCGCAAGAGCTGCCAGAAGCGGTCGACCACCTGCGTGCCCCCCGTGCACTTCAACGTCCTCCTCGTTCCTGGAATGTTGTGGTTGGGCTCCTGGGCATACTTCGAGGGATTTACACGAACTTACCGTTGCGCTTGATTGGCTTCCCGTTCCTGTCCTTCAGCTTCTTCTTCATATGAACCACGTGGTCATGAATCATCCCAGGAACCTTGAGCTTGTAGGCGCGGGCGCCGTCAGTGTGGAGGATGACGTTGCGGTTCTGGAGGTGCTTCCGTGCAAACTTCTTCCACTCGTTCTCCCTGATGGGGCCTGGCCCTGGCGCCCGAGACACGGTCTGCTTTGGGTTCAGACGCGTCAGGATGAGCGCGCGCAGGGCCCCCGCTGCTGGACGCCACCCCATTGCTCCCAGGTCGAAGCGGCATCGTGGGGCGACGGGCATCCGTCGTCGACGACGTTCTTCCTGAGGTCAACCTCGTCTGCCTCGACGTCATGCCACGACTTGTTGCCGGGTGCGCTGCTGAACTTGATGTACTTCTACATCTCCTGCACGTAGAGACTGCGGGCCATGTCGGTCGCGCGGAAGATATCCCCGACCGTCTTGTGGTTCAAGCCCGTCAGGCAATGGCCCGTGGACTGGCGGGCGTTGAGGATGGCGCAGCGCAGCGCCGCCGCCTGGTCTTGGAGAAGAGTCTGTCTTGGTCCATCGCCGACCTTGAAGATCATGTGCCCGCTGCGCGGTAGGACCAGCTTTTGACATTTCTTCGCGCGGCATCTTGTGTGTGTGTGCGTGTGTGTGTGTGTGTGTGTGTGTGTGTGTTTGCGGGCGTGTGTGTGTGTGTGTGTGTGTGTGTGTGTGTGTGTGTGTGTGTGTGCGTGTGTGTGCGTCCGCGTACGTGCGTGATTGCGCGCGTGTGTGTGCGTGTGTGTGTGTGTGTGTGTGTGTGTGTCCGCGCGCACGGACGTGGGCGGGCTGCGATCTTGGTCGTTTTGCCGAAAGAAACCAGGGTCTCGCGACAGACGGACATCACTATTGAGTTCGCGGGCGTTTTCTCCAGCAACTATGTATGACGCGCATGCGGTTGCATCGTTTCTGGGCTTTTGGCGGTGCACATGCGCGGGCGGGCTGCGAACCCGGTCGTTCTGCCGAAAGAAATCAATGTCCCGCGACAGAGGGGACATCATTATTGAGCTCACGCGGTGTTTTTTCCATCAGATACGCATGACACAATCAACTCGGCCAGGTTGTTTTCCTTTTTTGTGCGCAGTGTCCGTGCCGCGTTGCTACGGAGTGTCCTTCTGGCTGCTGAAAGACAAAGTGCGTGCGTGTGTATGCGTGCGCGCGTGTGTTTGTGCGCGTGCGCTGATTGTGGAACCGTGGCGGCCCAGACGGACGGGCGTGCCCCCCCGGTCTTGCGGGCGGGGGGGGCGGGCGCATCGGACCCAACGCAACGATGAGGGAGGGGCGGGAGACAAGCAAGGAAGAGTTGATTATTGTGGATCAGGAAAAAGGAACAATGTGCCAGTACCCGTTGAGCATTGCACTCAAAGCAGGCGTTGCGCCTCAATGGGCACATTGGGCATTGCCCCCACGTGGAGAGCATTGCGCCCAACGAGAATCAGCGTTACGCTGAAGAAAACAGGCGCTGTGCCTTAACAGTACCCCTGGGCATTACGCCCATGTGAACAGCCTCGCGCCCAGCGTTTTAGAGTATTACGCTTTTCCTCCTAGAGCATTGCGCTCTTCTCCCCTACAGCTAGAAGCAAGAGCATTACGTCTGCTTTGGCTCCTCCCCTATCTTCCTCGTCCTACATAGGCATGTCGCCTTTGACTACACTCTGGGTGTTACACCCTTTTTAAGAGCATTGCGCCCCCGAGTTATCATTCTGAGGTTGCCCTCCCTCCTCCGCAGTTGGCATGGGCCCGTTCGAAGATGGCCTGCCTGTGGGCGCTGGTGGGGGGATCCTCTTTCTGCTCCTCCTCCCCCTCCTCCTCCTCCTCCTCCTCCTCCTCCTCCTCCTCCTCCTTCCCTCGTTGAGCATCCCGTCGTGGGCTCCTCCTGATCCTCCTCCTCCTCCTCCTCCTCCTCCTCCTCGTCCTCTTTTCCCTTCTCCCCTCCTGCTGAGTATCCCGTCGCGGACTCCTCATGATCCTCCTCCTCCTCCTCC